CTCGGGTCAAAGTGACCCTTGACCAGTTGCTGTGTGAATTCACGCTCGCAGCCAAGATATCTCTTCAGTTGCCTAGGTTCCTCCATCTTGATGACCTTCGAGATTAGGGCCCATCCAGCTGCGATGTTCTTAGCCGGTCCACTCATGTTGAAGTCACCCACGTATACAACAAGGAAAAGGTCGAGCTCCTCGTGCCTAAACACGCCGGCCCAGCCCTTCACCTTGACATATCCGACCTGCTTCAGCATGGCTTCGCAGTGCTGTTCCCAGAAAGTACCAGCGTACAACGCGAGCACAAGGACGACGACCTGATCCTTGACCTCGGAATTCCCACTACTGTCAAGCCACTCAGGAGGCCACTGGTCACGAGGAATCCTCACCCAGGTCTTCTTTCCCTTCAGGCAAGCCTGAGTGTACGCCGATTCCGGGAAGCAGCCCGTGAGCATCACCCATCTTTCCCGCTGCCATAGTGGCGGGGCAGGAGGTGTTTTCAGAGAACAAGGCCCAGTGCCCGACCTCATCACGGACAAAGCATCCCTCAAAGACGACTCGCCCGTTATACTTGCGATTCGGATCGTCTTCAGGAAGCTCAGAATTCTTTTCAACGCAGATGTCGAAAATCCTACCAACATGGATCTTCTCCCCTTCCTTCCGGGCCCTGGCCGCAACATCGAACCACTCCTGGACGGTTGACAAGTCCCAGCATCCCTGCGAAGTCAACTTGTCCCACTCCTTCTGTAGAGCAGCCTTTGCTTTGGCATTTCCAGCCTGCTCCTTCTTGTTGACGGATCTAGCGACACAAGCGTATCAGGGAGGGAAATTGAGTTCTTCGGTCGATGCGAGAGGGATATCTCCCCCCTGGGCATAGACAACTCGAAACTCTTTCTTTCCGTCAGATCCAATCGTCGGAGCGGCAGCAGCTATACCTGTGCTACCGAAGCCTTCCTGGGAACAGTCGATGCGTCAATAAGCATGACGCGCTCCAGCACAAGCTGCGCGCTGCGGTCCCCGGGTTTCACAATGAAATCCTCATTTTCGTGATTGAAAAGGATGACCTTGACTTCACCATCATAGTCAGGGTCGATGACCCCACCGCCTACAGCGATCTTGTTCTTCACAGCTAGTCCTGACCTGGGAACGATTCTGGCATACACACCCGCGGGCATCTCTATCGAGATCCCGGTGTTAACTATACCCGACCCCCCTGCGGAAATGCACACTCCTTCAGAAGCATAAGTACCCAAACCTGCAATCCCCGAATAGCCCGTGTCGGGATCTTGGCATTCTCGTTGTCAAGACTCACATACAAGGTATTCGGCTTCTTCTTCCATCGCTGCTCAACAGGATCAACTTCAACCGGCGTAGCACTCGCGACTTTCTTGAATGTGCCGTTTGGGTGCCAAGCTCCAACAATCGCCTCGCACATCGCGCTTGGCTAGAGAGCAGTTGTCGGAGTCACTGATCCCTCGATGCGGGCATGAAGGTATCCCTTCTCATGCTTGCACTTCTGACCTGAGAGTTGCTCAATGAGCTCTTTGGAGGTCGTCGCAACCTTCCACTGTTTCCTGATTGGCACACCGCTCCTATCCTGCGTTCCGAAGTCACAGCCGTCAAAATCAACGGTCTCAACATCAGGATCAGCAAGAACTTCTGCATGAACGGTTGCTTCCACCCGAGACAGTGTCTAGGCCACTCAAAAGCAACCCTACCGCCCCCTTGCCTAACTGCTCGAGAGGCCCGCAGGAATGCGGCAAACATCACTGGGAGTTCCTTCTCAGGTCATTCAGGTGTGATGCAAGTCAGCACCATGGAGCGAGAGATTGACGTACTGCCAAGTACTCCACGGTCCACATGGAATGGATGCCCAGAGGTCACACCCAGGATTATCCTCGATGATCGCAATAACGTAGCCTATGTGCACACGAATTGCTTCGCCGCGCGCATTCCATTGAGTCAGGCTTGCAAGCGAACTCAATGAGAAGCTTGCGACCCGGCGCTGGAGCAGCTGGGTCCCTTTCAGGATGTTCTCGACGCCGTTCCTTCCTCAAGAATACCTCCCGTTTATCTCCCGTAACCGGGTAGACATCTGCCTCCAACTGTCAGCATCGATTGAGTTGGGCTTCCCGGTGCCCTTGTATGGCCGCTCACGCCTATCGGCGGATTGGTCATAGTCGATCCTATCTCCGTGCGACTTGTGACCCTTGTTTGAATCTCCGGCAGGTTTCGTCCCTTCTTCCTTCGGCCTGAACCTACCGTGAGGAGCGCATCCCTTATCAAAGAGGATAGTCGCACCTGTCCAAAATCCACGCGTGAAATGTGGATGGCTGGGGGCGTCATGACGGCGATCGTCCCTTACCCAATTTCCAACAGCATCGAGCCCCCGCGTGTGAGTGACCCTAACGGTGTCAAGCTCCTCATGCGAAGGACTACCTGGGGGAAGGTCTTCATTGGTCGAGCCCGCATTGGTGGCTGCAAAACACGCCAGCCATGTTCATGAGCCAAGGACATATCATGGCGGCTGAATGGGTCGTACACGTGCAATGTGCAACTGCAGTTGTTGGCGATTGTGCCATGTCCAGTGGGCTCCAAGCAGGCAATTCAAAGGCTGGTGTTTGCCTACTCCTCTGCGTATGGCGTGTTTGCACGTCCTGCTTTGGTCAGGAGGCCTGCCCCGTCGTTTCGGCTCCGGTGCCTCCGCTGCAGCGTGAGGTGCCTCCGGCGCAGCGTGTTTGCGTCTCTGTACCACAAAGCCCATGGTACTTCGGATAAGATCGATACACCCACTCTGCGTAACATTCTCCAACACAGCTCCACGAAGGTCCGGCCAAAATAGTGTCCAGCCCACTGCCCCCGAACCTGTTACAACAGGTGAGCCACGGGACCAACGCCATCTATTTTCTCGAGGCGTGGGCAGCATTGATCGCCCCGTCATCTTTCGACCATGGCTGACAAGCGCATGCCGTCAATTGTGCGATAACGAAGCAGCCATGCGTTGCACAGACGCACGTGCCGCATCACAGGCGACATTGAATTTGCCCACAACGTCGGATTCGACGAAATGCCGGAACTCCAAAAGTTCCACCAATCCCACATCACACAAAGTGGCCAAGGGCTTCCCACGTCCCGTGGTGTCTAAGAGACACCGACAACGACTCCAGAGAACGCATGCTGATCGACCAACAGTGAAAACAGTGTGACCGACGCTGGTTGCCGTCTCTGGAGCGTCTCGTTGTTGCGGTTAACACCTGTGTTAAAAGCAACAACTGCAAGCGAAAGGGCTTGAACTTGCGCTTGAATTGCAATATCAAGTGCTGCGCAATGCATGAGACAAATGCATATGCTAGCTAAGTACCAAGCTTAGCTGATTTGCCAACAAACTAGCTAGCTAGTCAAGCCCCAGCTAAGGTTTAAGCAAGTCGAGTGGAGTTAAATCCAGGCAAAACAGGACAGTCGCGCTTTTCCAGCAAGTTGAGCTGTGGTTTTGTTTTTTGAAGCCATGCCAGTCGTCATGCACCAAACACAAGTAGACACACACACAGTTTTTGTTGCCCCCGCAGTTCAACAGCAATGCGCATCGCGGGTCCCGTGCGACCGTCTACGCAGTTGCAAAAGTCAAACGCGTAACAACGAAATGAACGCAGCTTGTGGCAGCTTGGCGTGACCTTTTGCACAGATCGCGCGTGTCAATAGCAAACACGCAATGGAAAACGCGACTCTTTGCAGGGATTGAGAGGCCCTCCGCGTGGATCATGCTTGCCAAGCAATGCTTTGAGGCGCTGAGAAGCGGGGGAGAAGTTTACCGCAGAACCGAGCAGCCCGAGCTCGAATCCTTTGTTTGCACTCTTCTTGGAAGAGTTGTCACTTCTTAGGGTTCTTTGGAAAAAACCTTATTGCTGGTTGCACAGCCGTACGCTCGCAGCTTAGCATTGGACAGCTTTGCTTGCGCAATGATTGCGCAGCTCATGCAGCCTAGCTTACGCAGACTAGCGCACGCAGCCTGACTTGCACAGCCTAGCCTACGCCAGCTCCGGCTCGAGCGCATCTCAGCGTAGTTTTGGTACACAATAGGTTTCAGCATAGCCTTGCTTCTCAGCGCATCTGAACACATCTTAAACAGCCTGCCTTGCTGCGGAGCAGACCTCAGCATCGTCTTGCATCTCACCATAGCATTGCTTCAAAGCGCAGTCTGCGTAGCCTTGCTTCGCAGCACATCTCAACATAGCTCTGCTGCGCAGCGCGTCTCAAAAAAAAGTGAGCGGCTCTGCTACGTGCAGCTCTGCTCTGCGCAGCTCTGCTTTGCGCAGCGCTGGGCTTGCCGGACAACCACGTTGTCACAATATGCTTTCGGGAGAATCGGGGTCTAGCGTGTGAGTAGGGCCGTAGCAGCCGCTTGTTGCCAGATGGTACAAGCGTTAGCACTTATGGGCTTGCTTGGTCGTGGTGCAAGGGAGGCTGCTACGCTGTTCATATTGTATGGAGGGCGATTTGTTAAAAAACATGTTATCGTTTCTTTTTTTCACTTCTTTGGCTTGCCAGTAAGTGGCCTTGTGGCTTTTGGTGGCTTCGGTGCGTAGCCCAGCAGCAACACCCCCAGCGGCACCTCGAAACAAATTACAACCACCCAAGGCAAACTCCAGACAACCCTGTTGAGTTTATGACTGGGAAGTGTGCCCTCCGACCCGATCTAAACAACCCTAACTCCCTAACCCAACCCACGAAACCCATGGCCAGAGCATAGGGCGTTGCCAAATCAACCCCAAACATGCCCGAAACAACCCTAACCTTAAAGCAACCTGGTGGTGCTGGGGGTGTTGCTGGATGTGAACAATTCCGAAAACAACTGGAAAATCAACAATTCAATTCTGCACTCTTTGTATCGAGTCAAGTTGTGTTGCTTGGCTTCGACCAACGTGTTGAACAGATACCCCAGCCGCCCCTGCATTTCTGTTGCAATTTGTATTGGTTGCGCACATTGATTGCCTGAATTTGAGCAATCTGAGGCCGCACACACTCTGCGTTTCCAGAAGAATATCGCGAGCGAATCGACCTCAAGTCGCGAAGCTCCCATGTGCTTCATTCAACAAACTTGCATAAGGAGTTGCAGAAAACGAGGGTGCTGGAGTGGTGGTTAGTTCCCAAGCAGGATGCTGCGTGATGCACATGGCTGCGCATTTGTTGTGTGTTGCCGTCATTTTTTGACTTGGCTTGCACCAGCCAGGAGGAAATGCGCTCGTGCTTCTCAACCACCTGCCTGATCAACCAGAATTGTTTTTTGACAGCAACGTGCAAGGGACCATTGTCAGTGGAATCAGCAATGAGCCTCTCATGTTTCAGTCTTTTATGATACGGCTCAGCACGAGAAAGTTTCCTCGCGTTGGCACAGGCTACCGGTTGTCTCCGATACTTTCCGGGCGCAGCAAGTGAAGATCGTGTTGGGGTCTGAGCCCACATGCGCCAATAATTCCAGCCGTTTGAGGTTGAAATTATTGATTGACCTGTTATTTTGAGGCGAGGCTGGCTGGAGTCAGGGACTGATGCCTTCGAGGCAGGTTGGGTGTTCGGTGCATTTGTTGGCATTTGCTGGATTTCAGGTGTCTGACTGGAAGGGGCAGCCACTTTCGAGTCAACGCGGCATCTCAGATGTCCTGTTTTGGCAATTTGCTGTTTTTGACGCCGAGGAACTGCAAACTTGGAGCAAGCCCTGCTGCAGGCGCCGTGTTGACCGGTTGACTGCATGGATGGTGCCTATGCCCACCAGGCAATACGAGAGCGAGCTGCGAAGCAGGAAAGCCCGGCTGTTTGCCGTCAGCGTCTCCAATGGTATTGTGTTTATAAAGAGGATGGCATTGGGTGCACTAGGTATCAGTCGAAAATGGGGAATGACAAAATGCCCATGTCAGCATTAAATTGCAGCATGGTCATCCTGGCAGGACCGAAGAAGAAATTGCAGCTTGATGACAACAAAGCAACCAAACAAGAATATTATGGTCCACGGTCGTCGTTACTATTGTGGATCGTATGTGTCGGCTCGTTTTCAGTGTGGTGCCATGCCAATGTTTGCCTCCACACCATTAGCACCTCTGAGTGCCACCATACCGTGAAATCCACGAATGCTCGCATGCTCAGGTTCCTCAACTTAGATCAGCATTAAGATCAGCATTAATGCAGGAACGAGCGTAACAAAGCAAGCAATTTTCAGCGACAACACAAATATGAAGAATGTGTAACAAAAAGTCACAGGGAACACGTTTATGAAATCCCTGTCCCAAGCACAAGAAAATCTGTGGTAGATGTTGAGTGGCCTGGCAGCAAAGATCGCGTAGAGGCTGAAATGAGTAGGCAGAAGCACACTGGCACAGCATGGCACAGCATGGCACGGCATGGCACCACACCCACGTGCACACGCAGGCAAGTAGGCAGCCAAGCACTCACAGAGGCATGCCACACACACACAGTGAGAGATGCCGGCACGCAGGCATGCAGGTTAAAGGGCGAGTAGACACTCAGGAACACAGAGTTGCGCGCGTATGTTAAAGGATTCATGTCAAGTAGACTTTCAGCCCATTTGATGTGGTGCGCTCGAGCCCCGGCCCCACCCATGCGTATTGGCCAGGTTTTTGTGGAAATTGACGGCCAGGCGATGTGATGAATTTGGCCTCTTGAGTCCCCCGTCAACGTGCATCCTTTCAGGTGCCGCCGCTTGAATGCTTCCTGGGATTGCCCTTGGAAGGCGCCCAGTTGTGTTTTGCAGATATGGCACAAACGGTCGTGTCTTCTAGGTTGCCGCCCACTTCCAGTACAAGCTGCTCGTGCTGCGTTGAACAATGGCCCCTTTAAGGCTGAGTGTGTAGTGGATGCGTTTGTAAGGACACACTGAACAAACGGAATACAGCACACAACGTGCAGGTTTCAAAAGCAGTCGACCTTGGCCGGGCATTGGTATTCCATGGCGAGATTGAGGACACTTGCATGCCAGGCAAGTGCGAACGGCATAGGAAGAACTCAGGACCATGTGAGCACTTCGGCAGCCCTTGATGAGTGCAAGCTGAAACTCTTGCAGGCAGTCGAGCACTGCAACAGATGTCATTGCGTTGGATAGAATTCAGATGGCCCCTGCTGGTTCGTTTGAGAGTCCCTGAAGGCTACAGCTGTTGAAGGAGGATACGTATCCTCAACCAGCCCTGGTCTTCACATGGAGCATGTTTGAGCAGCAGACTTGTTGCTGAGGCAAGCGGATGGACCGATGGGAGTGGCATCCCGAGTTACCAAGTCACTGCTCGATTTACCGAGTCACCTCACTTCATGACCTGGTATTGCAGGTGCCTCCTCGCAAAGGGCACTGTCGGTCCCCTGCTTCTCTGGATACCTCTTGAAGATCTGGAGCAGGCTTGTTATTGAAACATCCTGTCTGATGTCTTTTCGCAAGCAGTAAATACTGGTAAGCATGCGGTAGATGTGCAGGAGATGGATCCTTCCATTGACCAGCGCCTCTTCTTTGTATTCACCACACTCATCACGCTGCTGTGTGTGCAGGCTAGTCTTGTGACCCACGGTGTAGGCTAAGTCAAGGGAAGCCCATGTTTTTGTTCGATTTAGATACGATTGGCATTTATGATTTTGATACGCCGGTTTTAAGATTGATTTACACTTTTTTGCTTCTCACGTTTCAACAAACAACTTGCACTTTTCATTGCTTCCCTGAGAACAAAGGGTCACTTAATGGCTGCTTTGTCATGACCCAGCATGTCACGCTCAGTGGACAGGGGTTCAAAATTGTTGAAGCCCTGCTGCAAGCAGCGCAACATGAAGGGTGTTGCATGTATACATATATAGATGGTGCTTTGCATGTCATGGCATACAGCTTTGTACAATATGCACTAGTCCAATACTGATTCACAGCCATAGCACTGAGACAAGGGAGGGCAGTTGCCCTAAATGGCCCAGTCACTATCAGTCACTCACAGCCAGCAATAGCTTTGAATGAGTATGTGAAGTAACCTATCTTGGATCCTTAAGATTGCTTTCGCTGTACTTTCGGCCCCTGAATTCACTCAGGGAGCGGTTGACCTCTAGGGTGGGTGCAGAGAAGTGCAGTGTCAAACGAGTTGTAGGCCTGACCAATTCAACAACACAGCAGCTGGGCGGGATCAGCTTGGCTCGCATGCGAGCGATCATGCCAATGGTTACGACAACTACCACGGAAAACACGGGTAGTCTTCAGAGCGTACCGAGTCCTTCGCACCCGGAACACCCAATCTCAGCTTACTGCCTGGCTATTCCAATTCGCAGACAGAAGGGCAGAGTGATGCACAGACAGTCCTTTGCTTTCACTAGCTGACCGAACTGCGAAATAAGCGAATTTAACAAGTATGCAAGCTCGGCTGAATGATTGGCCGAGTCCAGTTGAGCCACTTAAGCAACCAATTTCTAATCCTAAATTGGTTGATTGGCTCACATCCATCATTAGACAACTTCTACATTTGGACAATTGCCTAGTGACACAAGTTGGAGGGCTTGCATCCGCGGGCGTTGCCATTTTTCCAAGACAACCTGTCAGCCTTGCACACAATCTGTCCAATGTTCCTGCATTGCTTTGATTTGGCCTTGAATTCGACTTGTGCCTTCATTCACTGCGTTGCATTTGCGCCTTTGCGGGCGACATTCCAAAATTGATTGCAGAATGCTGCTCCACAGCCGGGCCTTAACCCTCCAGTGGGTGCTCTACTGTGCAGGGCTCAGTCGGCTGGAGTTAGCTGCTGGCAAAGCATCAAAGCTATGGCAGTGTGATTTCAAGACGATCTTTACTGCAATTCATGTGTCGCAAGGCTGAGCATCATTGGCGCATCGGAGATTTGCCGCCTTCGCCTCAAGCTTCTCTCTCTCTCTCTCTCTCTCTCTCTCTCTCTCTCTCTCTCTCTCTCTCTTTGTTGGATGGTTTGACTGTTTGATGCGTTGTGCCCTGCACTCAAGGCAGCGAAAGTGCAAAGAAGTTTGGAGTCCGCTTGGGCTTGCCTTTGTCTTGTGCTCAGAGCCCATTTGTTTGCTGGTGAGTGTCAAAGCGAGGGCTTCGCAAAATGGATCCGCCAAGGCTTTTCCCATCGCCGGCTATTGGCACCTTTGGCCTGGGGCTTACAATGCGGATGCCAGGGCAATGGGCCCCTTGCAGGAGTGGCGGCGCGCACTATGTCTTTAGTGCCAAATGCGACCGCCAGTTTTGGCGTGGCAGCATCGGCGTCAGATGCTTGGGAACAGAGTTTTCGCAAAGAGCTACGTCCTCGCTGGGCACTGCAGGCTGATGACAGGACTTTTGGCCTCCTTCACTTTGATAGGGCTTACACGGCGTGTGTTCGCTGCCCCTGAAGATTGGACGTGCGATTGATTGTCGGAGAGAACATGCACGGACGCCAGGCTGGGACTTTTAATGCCCCAGAACAACGAAAGCCGGCAACCTACTGTTTGGCATCAGTGAACGGGGTGGTTCTCTATGCCACTTGGGCCATGCTGAATGCTTTTGTTGTGCAAAGGTAGGTTGACTCAAACTACCAGTTGACCCTTGCTGCGCACCAGTGCAATGGGCACGTAACGCGCCCGCTTGCACTGCAGCACTCGGTTTTGCCTTAGGCTGTACCTGGGTCAACACAGATGTCTTCCCGTATGCTGGAGCCACAGCAAATTGTGGCAGTTTTCGTGCTCTGGTGTCTCTACATGCACCCCTGAATCATCCTGCGTAACACCGGTCTGATTTCCCAATGTCAATGCTTACATTCGATTAAATACTCATCAGAGGACTTGGACCATGCAAGTGTGCTGCCCTGCGTTTGCAGTATCACTCACAACACTCGCGGCCCAAAACGGTGGTACAGTTTCTGAGGCATTGCGACAGCTGCTGCTGGCGCAGGCTCAGGCTCGGAATGGAGTGCGGTCGATCGGTGTGTTCAGAAAACCGCGTGATTTGACCAGGGTCTGGAATATTTCTTGAGCGTTTGATGCGGAAGAACCGGATTTCCAATTTTGGTAGATTTTGGTTGGTTGAATTTGTAGTTTTGATGAGTTCGTTTATATTCATTGTTTAATTGATAACAGACTACAGTATAACATATGGACTTCCGGCATCGGCAACCCTTGCGTAGCCCGTGCCGAGTCCCAGATGCGTTTCCTCGGCCCGGGAAAACGCATCTGGAGCCCGTGGTGCTTCCCGTATTCTTCCCGTCCCAAGTTCAGAGGCGTTTTCCCGGCCCCGGGAAACGCATCTGGAGCCCTGTGGTCCTTCCCGTCGTCTTCCCGTAGTCTTGCCGTAGTCTTCCCGTAGTCTTCCCGTAGCCCGTGCCAAGTCCAGTCCAGCAAGCCACCAAGCAATCAGAAAGCAAGTGGTCCTCGGGTAGTGGTTTGGAAAGGACTCGGCAGGCAAGTTCGTGTTGAAGGGCAACAATGATGGCAAACTCATCCACAGCACAGGCGTGGAGGCACCCACCATCCACGAATACGGCAGGGCAAGCGGCCCCAATTGTCTTTTCAAGGATGGGAGCACGTGCAAGCGCATCAACTCTTCGAAGGCTTCCGCAGAGCCAAACCAGCAAGTGATGCATCTTTCAAGCACGATGCGATCACATAGGATTGCGGCACCAGTTCAGCCCCATCCAAACTGTTCTTTCGAATCAAACAAAATCCCATTTCCTTTTATTTATGTGGCCCTTGGAGCAGCAGCTGCATACGGCCTGCTTCAAGTTGAACTGGCCCAGTCGCTGCTCCATCTCCTCAACTGACCGGTGGTAGGCCCGAAACATGCTCGTAGCGAGACTGCATGTGGTCAAGAGGACCAGGAGTACCGCTGCAAGCCTGTGGAAAGAAGACCGATTCTCACTTCGGCGGCTCAGCGGGTCCGCTTTCAGGTCAACTTCAATCATCATCTCCTAGGCCAGAAAAAAACAAACAAGGTGGATAGCAGCCCGGGAAAACGTCTTCCCGTAGCGCGTGCCAAGTCCAGTAGCGTTTTCCCAGCCAGGGAAAACGCAGCTGCAGCTTTGCCTGAGTCGGGAGGAAGGATAGTGAAGATGCTGTACGGGCACGGAGGAGAGACTGCCGTGCCGTGCCATAGGCAAAGCGTGAAGTGTTGAGGCAAACTGAAACAAACGGCGAGGACAGCGCGCTGTGAATATGGCCTTGGACCATGTCAGCGAACTGACAGAAGTTTCAGGAGGTTGGCAACTCAGAGAGCTTGGCGGCTTGCATTGGTACGGAAAGGGTATGAGTCAGGCAAATGTGCGTGGCCGGAAACGCATGGTGCACGAGTTGGAAGAGATGCCAAGCAGGCTGGCAAAGAAATGTCAGCGTGTCAAACGTGTGCAGCGCGGCCATGCAGCAGTTGGGAGATGGCAGGCACTCAATATGCGAGGTCGCCAACTGCGCTGGAGCTAGCAATTGCCTCCGTGTCTCGGCATGTGGTGAGCGAGTCAGCCGGGAAACGAGCACGCTCACTTGAGAGGAAGTTTGCCTCCTTGCTGTGTCAGCTTTTTGAAGCTTTGGGGTATCCAGTATCCATGTGCTTTTCGAATCAAGATGACAGGCCAGAACCAAAGCTCAGGAGGAGAGAAGAAAAGCCTCCACCAAAAGCCAGAGAGAGGTGAGAGGAAAGACCGCCAGAGAAGCCAGAAATTCCGAGCTTGAGCTGCACTGGCATGTCACAGGCACTCCAGACATGGCATGCTCGCTTGCGATTGCAATACGTGTCTTCTTCAGAAAAGCGCTCAACAATTTTGACGGGGATGGTTGCAACGCAGTAGAATGATGGTATTGGCCAGTCATAGACGCTCATTATTTCTCAGGGTCATTCCAAGGCATTGTTTTTGTTGGTGACCAACAAATCCCTAAGACATGTGCTGGCGCGTATTGTGAGGTTCTGTGAATAACAAAGAACAAACACACCCGAGCGCCAGCACGAGTTTTCGTGATCGGCAAAAACGACACGTGTTGTGAGGATTGTGAGGTTCCCTGCCTGAGAAAGCATGTGCTGGGTATGTATTGCCAGGTTCCGACTAACAACAACTATATCGACACCCATTGAGTTGACTCTAGACCAAAACTGCAAACGGCGTTTCAAACTCTGCTGCGACGTGCTGGCGAAGTCAAGCCGAAGCTGGCCAAGCGGATAGACTGCGTGGCAAGTTGGGCCTTGGTTCGGCCTTTTGCGCCAGTCAAACGCCGGCAGTGCTGAAGTGGACAGGCGGGCGTTCGCGCAGTCGAAAGCGTTCATCCTGCCACTTGCTCTCTCACATGGTCATCGGCAGCTGTGGTTTCTATTATATTGTTGTGCAGCGCGATAGGGGGTTGGTCTGACGAGTCCTGATTGATGTGGCGGGGGCGTTGACGACAGATCTGCAGTGCCTTTTCTTTCTGAGCACGCCGTACTGGCACAGGGGCTGGCAAAGAGCCCCAGCCTTTCAATCAGCTACATGTTCCTCAGAGTCCTGCAGCCTGAGCGCGTGTCACTTATTCCCCAGATTGCTTTAGCTATAAGGGTTCTTACGTTTAAAGAGGTGCGGTTTTGTTCAGCTGGCGGTGCTTGTTTGGCGCGCGCTGGTCAAGGTGCTGGTCGGGGTCCTCTGACAGGGTGCTGGTCGGTCAGGGTTGGTAAGGGGTGCCTACTGATTGCAAAGAAGCATAGACTGTTTTGTGAGTTGCTGTTGCGGGTGCTGGTCAACGAGCTGCCGAGCGCTGGTCAGGTGCTGTGCAACCCCCAGGTTTATTTGGCCCCCGCCCAAACACAGTTCTGGACTCAGCGAAGCCCAATGAAACAAGCCCGAAACTCACCGTCTGCCACCTTAACCCAGTCCTTCCCGTAGTCTTCCCGTAGTCTTCCCGTAGTTTTCCCGTAGTCTTCCCGTCCCGTAGTCTTCCCGTAGCCCGTGCCAAGTCCAGTAGCGTTTTAGCGTTCAGATGCGTTTGCATCTGGAGCCCTGTGGTCCTTCCCGTCGTCTTCCCGTATCTTGCCGTAGTCTTCCCGTAGTCTTCCGATTCCCGTAGCCCGTGCCAAGTCCAGTAGCGCGCGCGTAGTCTTCCCGTAGCCCGTGCCAAGTCCAAATGCGTTTCAGCCCCCGTAGTAGTTGTTGTAGTTTTCCCGTAGTCTTCCCCAGTCTTCCCGTACTGCGCACCCTGTTCGGCCTTGGAAGAGCCCTTCCGGAAGGGCTCTCTCTGCGCTGGCCGTTCTCCTCACAAATCCTTTTGCCAGTCAAAGCTTGCACCTCATCCACAAGTTTGCTGCAAGCCTCGGACATGTCCAGGCCTTTGGCCTTCTGCAATGCGATCAAGACCAGAGTGTCTTCAAACTTGTCCAGCGCCCCGAGCGCTTGCAAACCGGCCTCACGAACCAGCGGCCGCATCTTTTGCATCAGGTCCTGGGCCTTCAGGATGGCTGGCTGCAGATCTTGAGCCACAAGCATTCGCTTCACATCCGCTGCAGCGATGATCTTCTTCTCCGAGGCATACGCCTGAGAGAACACAGCGTAGCGGAAGTGCATGTGCTGCTGCGACTGGTCCTTGCAGTTGCCACTCAAGGCAGCGTAGAAGTCAGCGCCCAGCTGCCCAGTACGCAAGCTTCGCTTGACCCTTGCTTCGGCCAATGCAAAGAGCATTCTGGTTCAGATCATGGACAAGATCCGCTTGAGCATCTGAAATTCGTGCTCCCCCTTCGCAGGCTGACCTTCCATCTCATCCCACTGCAAGCCGCCTCTGCAAAGCCTGCATCAATGGCCTCCACTCTGGCCAGGCTCAGATGGCGCCATCGACGCAGAGCGGGCCACTCTGCGGGGGCTTATGACTCTGCGGGCGAGCTGCGAGATCAGTGGCTCCTACATGGTCCGCAAGAAGGACAAAGCCCGCGGGCCAGATCCGCTCTATGGAGCTTGGTTGTTGTGCTGACCATTGGGACAGAGTCCATCAGCGGTGTGTGTATAAGGTGGCAGTGGCCAGGTTTCTGAGGGGGGACTGGCAGTCTTCCCGTAGTCTTCCCGTAGCCCTTTCCAAGTCCAAATGCGCTTTAGCCCCGTAGTTTATAATTTTCCCAGTAGTCTTCCCGTTGCCCGTGCCAAGCCCCGGGAAAATGCATTTGGAGCCCCGTGGTCCTTTTCGTAGTCTTCCCGTAGTCTTCCCGTATTCCCGTAGCCCGTGCCAAGTCTCGGGAAAGCGCATATGGAGCTCCGTGGCCCTTCCCATATCTTCCCGTATATTTCCTGTTTCTCGTTTACGAGTGTTTTGGTAGCATTGCCCGCGTTGCTCAGACTTCGGATTTGTTGGGAGGGAGCTTTCAAATGAGTACATTGCGTGAGGGGTATCAAGAGTTTGACACATCATTTGTGATGCAACTGTTTATGCTGATGCTCGGAACATCGTGTTGATTCACCTGGTTTGGATTTGCCGGCAAATCAAGCATTGGCATGCTGGCATTGTTTCAAACACTCGCGTCAGGTCCGCTCGGAAGTTTGTACGCAGCCACCGCTTCAAGCTTAGGTAGCTTTTTGGGATTTGGGCGCTCATTGCTTGCGATGAGGCCTGGTGTGGATGTACACTACGTGCCCACAACACCGGCCAGCAGCTGAATTTCACATTGCCATTTCCAAAGCATTTTATTCGCCGCAAAGATCACGCTAAAGTGCAAAGTTATGGCTTTTGATCCATGACTGGTCTGAGATATGGTGTTCAATGCCATTGACATGAGGCTTTGGCTGCCGGAGCTTTCGGACTGCTTACCGCGGCCTTGCCACTTTGCCTGAACAGGGCCCTGCTTTCCGAATGATTCGGGAAACGCTGGTTGGCCGAGGAACTGCCTTCCAATTGGGCAGCTGGTGTGCGACCGAGTGCTTGATGCATTTTCACCAATGCAATTTGCGCATGACGGACAGCGCTTCTGCGGAACACGGGAGTTGCCCCGGCTTTATGAGTTTGTGTGTGGCATTTGCAGACTGTTCACCCCTTTTTCCTAACGGATGCTCTGAATGCACCCCCGCATGCAGGGTTTGGCAGCCCCGGAATTTGAGCCCAAAATCCAGGGCGTGAGGGCCTTCGGCTTTAGGAAGACATCTTATGCTCTCACTGCATAATCTGGCATTGAAAGGAACATTACTTGTATGGATTTTCCTTGGCTTGGCTGATATTCAATCTTTTCTCCCTATTCCTGCTCATGCAGTTGCTGGCCGAAAGGATTGATGCAAGGCCAGAATTCCCAGCATCCTCGCCAGAAAAGAATCAAGATCACCAGCGTTGCAGTTTCTACCGCCAGCATCGCCATCGGAATCATGGGCATCACCACCGTTCATCGAGACTGAAACGGGTGCTAAATTTGGCGCAACAAACACAGGTCAGGCCTTCCGGACTGACATCGATGCAGGAGATGCAAGAACTTGAGGCAACTCCACTCCCCTGGAGGCCAAACCTGTGTTGTTACAGCAAAAGCAAAGTCACGCTGAACACAAATAGAAGTTGTTGCAACCCGAGGTTTTGAGCTTAGTATACAGACCCGAAAGCAGTCGACTTTTACAAGGATTCCGAGGAAGACATGCATTGGCAGAACTTGCCATCATCCACAGCTTATTCGACTCAAGCTTCGAGTTGCTGTGCTTTTGGTTGAATGCTGAGGATGGTGCATCATTGCTGCCAGCTGTTCGGTGGAGTTGGCTCCGCGAGACGTTCCTGCCATTTCTTGCTTACTTGCTTCTTGGCCAGGGCCGCAGCTTTGCCCATCGAAGTGGCATGCTGCCTTGCGTTTAACTCACAGCTGAACTCAGGTGTGACCATTTTTGATGCTCCTGGCCTGTTTCCATTGGCCTGGGCCCATGATGGTGAAATTGTTTCTTGGACACGGCCCAGACACCCCGCTTCGCAGGTTGTTGGTTTTAGCATTTTCACCTTTGGCGTTCGCCCGCAGCTGGCGCTGGCGACTTAGTCGGAAGTCTCGTAGCTGACTTAGTCGGAAGTCTCGGAGCTTGGTGACTGATGCAGGGTCTTGTGTGCCCAGAGTGCAGGCCGAAACCGGTACGTCGAGACAATGTATCGCAGCATCTCACCCAGACCTGCGCAAGCCGATAGCCGGGACGGGTGCACATCCAGGTGTTTTGGATTTCTTGTTGAGTTTAGTTGACCTCCTTTCGATTTGTGCTGGGCCAAGAACATGTTTCGATTTGTGAATAGAGGATTTGTTTCGGGAGCTGGGAAGCTATTTGTAAAATATTTGGCCTAGTGTGACATCTCTAGATGTTTCTCACATTGGCTCCGAGGCCTGAAGAGCTTGCCAATTTCATGACTGGGGTGCCTTGGACTGGCTAATTCGGCATGCGGTTACACAGGCACGCCCTGTGCGCTTCGAGGCTGTGATTCTGGTGGCTGCATTCTTGATGCTCATGCCGGGAGCCTGTTTCTTCTGCTACAGACTTCAGGGAATGTGCAGTAAGGGTGAAATCAATTGTGCAGACTGCAATCCTTCCGAGTCGCTGCGCATTCAACAGGCCAGGGAGTTGGCTGCAAGCCATCGCCATGGTGGTGACGAGCTTGCCGCGTGCCACGTTTTGACAGCACGCATGCGCCACATTGGACTTTAGACAGCTTTGTGCACACAAGGAGTTTTGTTCGTGGCAAGCACCGCCAGGTGGACACTTCCTTCTCTTCTGACTGAGCTGCGCTAGCTCAGTGCACAGAAGCGAGGCTTTGCAAGAGATTCTCAAGTCAGACATTCGCATAGACAACATGGAGAACACCTTTATACCATTGAATGCGCTTCAGCTTGAGAGCGGCTTTTAGATTTTGTAACTACGATGTTTCACTGTGCGCAAGGAATCTTCACCTAGCTATATTTTTTCAAGCGGCGAACCTCAGAAAGGCATGCGCTGAGCAAATGAGGCGAGATCCGCCAGGCAGCCGAGGGATACAATGCTGTTCAAGGTCAATGTTAATTGCGTTTGTTGCCATGCCCAGTCAGGCTGGCAATATGTGATATATATATATATATATAGATTTCTTTGGCACGCCTTTGGCTCTGCCTGTAGTTGAAGCTTTTTTCAGCCGCATCGTCGCGAGCAAAGAAGACTTGAATTGACGTAGCTGCAAGGTCATGCAATCTATCAGAGTGCCGAACGCTAGTCCTGAGTGCCGTGTGACACGTGCTCGAGCTTGTGAAACAGAGAGACCTTTTTCCCGGAAGTACTGCAAAGTGATTCTTCTTCTCACAGCCCTGTATTATGTCTGCTTCAAAGTGAGAGTACCCCCGCAACCAGATGCTTCCACTGCTTGCCTGAGTTGAAGAGGGTCGTTTTTTTTCCTCGCTTAGTATGGCAGTGTCGTAAGTTTTGGTCACACACAAGCAGGGGAACAGATCAGAACTCAGACCAAGAGCAAAGACCTCAACTTCAGCGCAACTCCTTTTTGTCAACATCCGGGATTGTGCTTGACTCGTTGATTTCAATGCGTTCCACCTCGGCCAGGAATCAGCAACGCAAGCAAGAATTTACACAAACATATCTTGTGCTTTCTGTGCTTTGGCAGCATCAAGCACAATGCCTGCTGGAGGCATGGCACTGTTTTTGTGCAATGTTTTCGGACCAGGGCTTGACTTGCGCGTGGGCTTATTTGTTTATTGCAAGCGGAACAAGGAGCTGGCGATGCCCAGCACCCAGAGAAGTATTGGCCAAGCAAAGAGAATCTTTGGATCGAGCCTCGCAGGTTGGCAAGAAGAGCGCTGCAGATATATTGGCAGCCTTTCGAAGCCGAATTGATCGGCGAATGGTGGGCAGCCCAGATTTCTGCGCTGTTTTACGCATAGTCTCATCTTTTGGGCCTGCGGCCTCTAGCCGGCTTCGCCGCTTTGTTACACCGTGTCATGTCATTTTATTTTGTGTGAAACGTATCCTACGCTAGGATATGTCTTGTTAGGTTATGCATGTTGCCCACTCCAGCCATAGCATCTACCATGTCATGTCACGTTATTTATGTGAAACGTATTCTGTGCTGTGATATGCTACGACGTGCTCGGTTAGATTATGCATTTTGCCCACTCCAGCCATCAACGTATCCCAGATGATGCTTGGAATGCCAGCTTTCTGAGCCCCAGCAGGGCCCTCACTGAGTCAAATCACATGGGGTCGCGCGCGCGCACGCCAGAAAGCCAGGAAACGCAAACGCAACAACACACTGTAAACAGCACCGTTTTGTGGCCGGGCGCGCGCGCGCGCCACAAGGCCCAAAAACCAAGTAAAAAAAAACCAAGGACCGCACCGCGCACGAGCCAGCCACAGCAGAAGCAAAACAATCAGAACATCAGCCCAACGTGCAGCATAGCATCTTTTGACGGTATTTACAGCGTTTTTTGGGCAAGGAGCCAGCATCGCCGGCATTCCCGGCAGCGCTTGGCCCCAAAATGCGCGAAAATGAGGCTTGCTTATATCCCCTCGGACAATCAGTGGTTCATGGGTTGTGAGGCTTTTTGGGCGGAAGTCTTGATGACGCAGACTAAGCTCCGCTGAAGCGTCACCCAAGCCCAACCCCAGACCCTGATGATGTCAGCAACACGGCCTAAACCCTGCATATACGCAATGTCTTGCGAGGTTTCCACACGCACTTCCATCACCATTTCCAGCAGCGATGTCGTTGCCTTCTCGGTGTCTAGTGTCACAGGCAAGCAAAACCGACGGATTTAGGTGTCGCATCCGACCAAGTGATGAGGGTCGGCGGCGCAGGGGTGCAGCCCCATAGCTAAAGCTAGCAGGCAGATTGCCTAGCGGCGACATGCTACCCCAAAGAGTAGCCGGGTTTGCGTTGCTGGCGCACAACCGGCTGCGGCAGCAATCTCTCTCTCTGTCTCTCTCTCTCTCTCTCCCTCTCTCAATCTCTCAATCTCTCAATCTCTCTCTCTCTCTCTCTCTCTCTCTCTCTCTCTCTCTCTCTCTCTCTCTCTCTCTTCTCTCTCTCTCTCTCTCTCTCTCTCTCTCTCTCTCTCTCTCTCTCCCTCTCTCTCTCTCTCTCTCTCTCTCTCTCTCTCTCTCTCTCTCTCTCTCTCTCTCTCTCTCTCTCTCTCCCCACGCGCATGCGCACGCACGCACGCACTGCCGCGTGCACGCACGCACGCACGCACGCATGCGCGCACGCACGCACGCACGCATGACACACGCGGAGCGCGCGCGCGCGCGCTCGCACGCCCGCGCGCCCGCGCGCAAGCACGCACTCACGCACGCGGGCGTGCCCGCGCACGCAGCCATGCACGCACGCACAGGCGCCGCGCGCGCACGCACGCGCGCACGCACGCGCGCACGCGCGCGCAGAGGCTTCCACGAGCTCTCTTGCAAGACGTCTTTGCAGGGCTTGTGCTTCGAGGTTTGTTATCTGCGTCGCAAGCCGAGCCACCTAAAGTCCACAGAGGGCTCACTCTCGAGGTTCAGAATTTGGACCGCCGCGCATGCAGAGCCATCCGACCCGCCCAATGTTCAAGGACGCCCCGCGCCGCAGGCAGCGCAACTTGACCCGCCCAAAATCCGCAGACACCCACCCACCCACCCACCCGCCCACCCACCCACCCACCCACCCACCCACCCACCCACCCACCCACCCA